TATATATATATATATATATACGAGGGCTGAGTAAGAAGTTTCCGGATGCACAAAATTTTATTTGTTACCCAAAAATAAGCAGTACATTTTCTCGAAGTATTCTCTATCAGCGTTCATGCACAATTCCAAACCACTTTTTTATTACACACACGTGTGACCAACAGCAGACGGGGAGAAACCCATAGTCACGAAGACCTGCTGTTCAGTGGTAGAAACCGGTAACCTAAGCCCCGGAACTTGGAGTGGCGAATCAAATAAGGCGTGATATTGAACCGGACGACAGCAGAGCCACCTACCACCAAAGTCGGGTGGCGGTGGCAGCTCTGCTGGATCATACCTCAGCGTCTCTAACCAAAAACAATCCTTGTCTATTGGGCCCCAACCTAGAAGGCGGGCTAAAGCTGGCTTCTTCGTATCTGTATGCCACGTCATGATCTAACCACCACGGCACTTTTTCCATCCGTGTCCTGAACGTGCAAACAGAGCACGGAAAGATAGACGATGGGCAGGTATAAGCAAAAGGTGACCAGCTATTGGAGGCGGTGTAGAGCGATTACTTCTTCTAGAGAGCGGTTATCCGCACCCAACACACTACGATGAACCTCGTCATTGCTCAACCGGTGTTACCACCGGACACGGGAAATGATCTTCATCCTACAGCAAAATACAGTGAAGCGAAATTCACAGAGCCCTGCCAAACGTGCAACGTATACAAGGTTAGTGGTAAAATTTAAGGTGGACAGGGATTGGACCTACTTTGAGGGAGGAAGAAGGTGAATCACTATGGTCAATACACAGAGTGTACATACATACCGTTTTAATCAATCTGGTCTGATAAGAAATTATAAGAGCGCCACCGTTGTCGGTTCACTACCATATCCTCCAATGTCTCTAACCAACCAGTTGTGGAGTCTTTCGGACCCCAACCTGGAAGGAGAGAGACACCTACTCTACCTAGTGGCTGTGCATTTCCTCATGCATCGTCTCCACGTCACCTGTCGACCTCCCCGTGGTTTCCTCCAGCCCGGAGCGGCTACAGCGAATAAAGCGCGGTGCGGCAGACCATGGCTGGGAATACGCAATACGTGACCTAGCCACCGAAGTCTACTAATCTGAATTCGGTGTTAGCAGGTTTACACTGATAGGCTTCCAAACACACGACGGCTTACTTCTACAATACTAACCTGCTCCATCCAAAGTGAGCCAAACTGCGTAAAATACTGATAATCAAAAACCTCTAATCGATGGATATCTTCCGCTCGCAAATTCAAGGTTTCACAACCATAAAGCAAAACTGAATGAAGGCTAGCACAATATACACGACCTTTCAACTTCAGTGAAACGTCGCGTCTACGCCAAAGGTGT